TCATCATCATCAGCATCAGCATCATCATCATCATCATCATCATCATCATCATCATCAATAGCAGCAGCAACATCATCATCATAATCATCATCATCATCGTCATCACCATCATCATCATCATCATGATCGTCATCATCATCATCAGCATCATAATCATCATCATCATCATAATCATAATCAGCATCATCATCAGCATCATCATCATCACCATCAGCATCATCATCATCATCATCATCATCAAGACCATCGTCATCATCATCATCATCATCATCCTCATCATCGTCGTCATCATCATCAGTATCATCATCATCATCAGCATCATCATCATCATCATCAGCATCATCATCAGCATCAGCATAATCAGCATCATCATCCTCGTCAGCATCATCAGCATCATCATCATCATCATCATCATCATCATCATAAGCATCATCATCATCACCATCATCATCATCATCATCATCTTCATCATCATCAACATCAAAACCATCATCATCATCATCATCAGCATCATCGTCATCAGCATCAGCAACAGCATCAGCATCATCAGCATCATCATCGTCATCATCATCATAATCATCATCATCAGCATCACCATCATCACCACCATCACCATCATCATCAGCAGCATCCTCATCATCATCATCAACATCATCATCAGCATCATCAGCATCAGCATCATCAGCATCATCATCATCACCATCATCATCATCATCGTCATCATCAGCATCAGCATCATCATCATCAGCAGCATCATCAGCATCATCATCAGCATCATCATCGTCGTCAGCATCATCATCATCATCATCATCATCATAATCATCATCATCATCATCATCGTCACCATCGTCATCATCATCACCACCATCATCACCACCACCATAATATTCATCATCATCATCATCATCATCATCATCAGCAGCAGCAGCAGCAGCATCATCAGCAACATCATCATCATCAGTATCAGCCTCGATTTCATCCTCCTCATCCTCCTCCTCCTCGTCATCCTCGTCCTCCTCCTCATCCTCCTCCTCCTCCTCCTCCTCCCTCCTTCTGTCCCAAATCCTCCTCCTCCTCCTCCTCCTCCTCCCCCTCCTCCTCCTCCTCCCCATCCTCCTCATGTTCATGTCCTCCTCATCCTCTTCATCATCCTCCTCCTCCTCCGCCTCCTCCTCCTCCTCTGCCTGATCAGTATCATCCTCGATCTCCTCCTCCTCCTCGTCGTCCTCCTCCTCCTCCTCCTCCTCCTCCGCCGCCTCCTCCGCAGGTTCCTCGTCTCCTCCTCCTCCTCATCCTCCTCCTCCTCCTCCCTCCTCATGTCCCTCTCCGCATCCTCCTCCTCATGTTCCTCATCCTCCGTTTCCTCTCCGCCTCCTCCTCCTCCTCCTCCTCCTCCTCCTCCTCCTCAACCCCCTCCTCCTCCTCCTCCTCCCTCCCCCTCGCCCCCTCCCTCCTCCTCCTCCGCCTCCTCCTGCCTCCTCCACCTCCTCTCATCCTCATCATCATCCTCATCAACCTCCTCCTCCCTCATCCTCCTCCCCCTCATCTCTCCTGCTCCCTCCTCCTCCTCCTCTCCTCCTCCTCCTTCTCCCCCTCCTCCTCCTCATCCTCCCCTTCCTCCTGTTCCACCTCTCTCCTCCTCCTCCTCCTCCTCCTCCTCCTCCGCCTCCTCCTCCTCACTCCTCCACCTCCTCCTCCTCCTCCTCCTCCTCTGTCTGAAATGTCCTCTCGCGCTCTCCTCCTTCCTCTCTCCTCTCATCTCCTCCTCTCCTCCTCCTCTCCTCCTCCTCCGCCTCCTCCTCCTCCTCCTCCTCCTCCCCTCCCCTCCTCCCCTCCTCCTCTCCTCCAACCTCCACCAACCTCCTCTCCTCCTCCTCATCCTCCCCTCCTCCCCTCCTCCTCCTCCTCCTCTCCTCCTCCTCCTCCTCACCCCTCCCCTCCGCCTCCTCCGCCTCCGCCTCCGCCTCGCCTCCGCCTCCGCCTCCTCATCCGCCCTCCTCCTCCTCCTCCTCCTCCTCCTCCAGCCCATCCTCCTCGTGTTATTATTCTTATTCGTATTAGGATTCGTCGTCTTGCTTGTCGCATTCTAAGTATTATTCGTATTAGTCGTATTAGTAGCCTGCTTCCTCTTCTTAGTATTATTCATCTTCTTCGTATACGTAGTGGTCGTATTCCTCGTGTTCGTCGCCGTCTTCCTATTATTAGTATTAGTATGCTGATTCGTATTCGTCTTCTTCGTATTATCACTCGTAGCATTCGTCCTCTTATTATTACGTGGTTTCTTCCTCCTCCTCCTCCTCCTCCTCCTCCCTCCCCCTCCCCCTCCCACTCCCCCATCCTCCTCCTCCTCCTCCTCCTCCTCCTCTTCCTCCTCCTCTCCGCCTCCTCCTCCTCCTATCAGCACCATCATCTCATCGTCCTCCTCTTCCCCATCCTCCTCCTCCTCCTCCTCCTCCTCCTCCTCTTTTCCTCCTCCTCTTCCTCCTCCTCCTCCCCTCCATCTCTCCTCCTCCGTTTCCTCCCCTCCTCCTCCTTCCTCCCTCCTCGTCCCTCTCCTCCTCCTCCGCCTCCGCCTCCTCCTCCTCCTCCTCCTCCTTCAGTATCCCTCCTCGATCTCCTCGATATCATCCTCCTCCTCCTCCTCCTCCTCCTCCTTTCCTCCTCCTCCTCCTCCTCCTCCTCCTCCTCCTCCTCTCCTCCTCTTATTCGTCGGTCTTATGCATCTCTTCTTCGTCATAGAATTAGTCGTCTTCTTATTCATCGGATTCGTCGTCGTATTATTCTTCTCCTCCCTCCTCCTCCACGTCCTCGTCCTCCTCCTCCTCCTCTCCTCTTTCTTCTTCTGCTTATTCTTCTTCTTCATTGTCTTGTTCTTCTTCCTCCTCCTCCTCCTCCGCCTCCGCCTCCTGCCGCCTCCTCCGCCTCCTACCGCCTCCTCCTCCTCCTTCCTCCTCCTGTTTCTCCCCTCCTCCTCCTCCTCCTCCCTCCTCCTCCTCCTCCTCCCCTACTCCTCCCCTCCTCCTCCTCTTCCTCCTCCTCCTCCTCCCCTTCCTTTACTCCTCCTCCTCTTCCTCCTCCGCCTCCTCCTCCTCTCCCTCTCAGCGTTCCCTACCTCGAAAGAAGCTCACTGTGGGCCGCGCGTCACGCCTACTTTTGCTGCCCTCAGCGTCCTGTCGTGGATCATGTACCCAGGCTCCATGACGTGGAAAACAATGTTAGGCTCCTTGCCAGGCATGTCCATGGCAAACATAGCTTCGTGCTGCTCTGGATTGAAAGGCTTGTCTTCCGCATCCATCTTAACTATGCCGAACTTGTCAAGGGCCTGTCGAACTTCTTTCTGCATCTGCACGACTCCATCTCGCAGCTTGAGCAGCTCTTTGTCCTGGTCGACGTCTTCTTGCTTGACGCTCCCTATCGCGCGGTCGAGGTTGTCTGGGATCTGCAGCATCGCCTTCGCGAAGTTTGTGATCCCATACTTAGACTCGTTCACCAAGTCTGTCTCGTGCCGTTTTGCCGCCTGACGGCTGTCCTCCTTGCAGCTCAGCCTCTTCGCGGCCAGGTCCGACAGCAGCTCCCGGGCCTCGGCGGCCTTCGCGCTGAGCTCCTCGAGGTCGCCCTCGCTGGGCGCGGCTTGAGCTGGAGGGAAAGAGAACGACGATCATGGTGTCGATCCTGATCGCCGTCCATCCTGGCCGTCGTCGATGCGTGGACCAGCCTCCGCGCATCGGCGACGGCAGGACCATGACCAAGATCTGCATCGAGAGGACCCCCGCGACATTCGAGGAGCAAGTACTGGCATGAGCCTAGAAAGTCAACGTTCGGTCGCCCGCGCTGGTCTCTTGGATCGGCGCTGGTCTCACTCAGGTCGGGCCACCTCCCCCACTACAGGCATGTGTTGGAAGACAAGTCAGAAAATAGTCAAGCAATGATCATCGGGAGCGGCCAAGAGGGGGGTGTCCAAGAGGGGGGGATGCAAATCATGACCGGCGGCTTGTGCGCGGCACAGCGGGGGGGCCAGGGACGTGATGAAATACGAAGAGGCGCCATGTGAAGTCAGGGGAACTATCATGGCCCCCCCCCATGATACCCACCCCCTCCTGGCCATTCAGACCATGTCTTGCCAATCCTTCAATACTCCTGTGGAGGGACGCGCGCCAGACTCTCCACGCCAAAACGCCCGCACCCCTTCGGGGAGGCGCGCGCGTCGTCTTTGCGTCGGCCCCAGCCCGGCGAGGGCCCTCCGAGGCCGAACACCGCCTGAGACCACCCGTTGCGATTGGACTCGCGACGCCAACGAAGGGGCGCGCGGCCCGCGCCCCCCTTCGGGGAGGCGCGCGCGAGGCGCCGCCCGATGGGGGGCTCTCCGGCGCCGACGCAAGGAGCAAAATAGGCGCGGACCTCCGCAGGCTTCAGGTCGGGCCTGTCCCCCCACGGGGGGGATTTTGGACGAAAAATACAAAGAAATACCCAACAAATGCTCAAAAGATGCCCCAAAATAATCAAAAATTTGTCCCCAGACTATTTTTTGACTATTTTTGAACATTCATTCCCCCTGTAGAGGGACAGGCCCGACTTCACGCAAGTTGATCTTTCTGCCGCCGTCTGATGGGCCTGGTTTCCGCTACCGCCACCTTCAGTTGGAGGGGGAGGGGGTTCTCCTCCTCTTCCCCCTCCTCCTCCTCTTCCTCCTCCTCCTCTTCGTCCTCCTCCTCCTCGTCCTCCACCCCTCCTTCACCCCTTTTCAACTTCTGGTGGTGGTGGTGGAAAACAGGCCCATCAACTGTCTGCTCCCAGACCCCCGACGTAATGATTTTCTCGTGACGTCGACCCCCAAACGCCGCGACCCTTTCCCCCGGGAGTGGCTCCGCAACCCGAAAGTCGTTTTGCTGACGGCCCCGAGGCCCGGGTAAGGGCTCCCTGCCGAGGCCGAGCACAGTCCAAGACACCGCCCGCCGCGACTGCTTTTCGGGACCCGAGGCCGTCTTGGGCCGTCGGAAAGCCGAGAAAGCGCAACTGCCCAAATCCTGCAAAAGCGTACGGAAAATCCATGACGTGGGCCTCTTCGGGCCCTCCTGGAGGACCTCTTGGAAGCCTCTGGGGCCGTCTTGGAGGCCTCTGGGGTCTTGGTCCCCCGATGGTCACGCTCGGGGGCGGCCACGAGGGGGGCGTGCAAGAGAGGGGGGGGGGCGCAGATCACGGCCCGCGGCACGCGCGCGGCTCCCCCGGGGGGGGGGGCAGGGACGCCACGAGATAAGACGAGGCGCCATGAAATCTGATCTGAGGAACCACCATGGCCCACGCCATGAGATCCCCCCCCCTAGTCACCACCCCCCTCTTGGCCGCCCCCGACATGCTCCCAGGGATCCGATGTCGTGATCTGTCCCACACGGGGTCCCTGGAAGTCTCGACCCACTCCCCAGGACCAGTCTCTCATCCCGAGTCGTCTCCTGACGCTCCCGGGGCCCGGCGAGGGCCCCCCGAGGCCGAAAAACGCGGGGAATAAAAATACCGCCGTGATGCTTCCCAGGCGTGGCTGGGCCCCTCGTGCTCCTTCCCCGAGGCCGAAAAACACGGACAAAACACCGCCGTGATGCTTCCCGTGCGTGGCACCTCTGGGCCCCTCGTGCTCCTTCCCTCGATTCGCGCCCGCCTCCGCGCAGAAAGCTCGGAGGCCCGGCGCGGCCCCGGCGCGGCGCGGCGCCCCGGCGGCCGCCCGCGGCACGACGGGCCGCGGCCGCGGCGCCGCGCGCCGCCCGCCGGCGGCGCGAGCCCCCGCGCGGCGCGCGCGAGCATGGCGGGCCCGCGCGCGCGGGGGTATCGCGCCGCGGGCCCGCGCGCGCGGGGAGCGCGCCCGGCCCGTGGGGCCCGCCCGGGGCGCCGAGGGATACAGTCGGACTCGATTCCGGAGATCCAGCGTATTGAGAGAAGCAAGGCGTCGGTGTTTCGTATCTTTTTCGGCCTCGAGGTGCCCTCGCCGGGCCCCGGGACCATCAAAAAACGACTCAGGAAGAAACACCGGTCCTGGGGAATGGGTCGAGACTTCCAGGGAGCCCGTATTGACAAAATCACGACATCGGATCTCTGGGTGGAGAGGACACGCGAGAGGACAAAAGGCCCTTCCGAGGGCCACAGCGCCACAGGAATGCAGGAGGCAAGGGCCGCGAGACACAGGACACAAAGGTACCCTTGCTTTGGTAGGGTCGACCTACTAATCCAGGCCGCCTGTAGGTCGGGCAGGCCTCGGCGGTGGACAAACCTTCCTTTCTAGTAGGTCGACCTCCACGTGGTGAAAACGGCCTGGGGACCGAAGCCGACGGACGGACCTGGACCCGCAGAACAGGACGGCCGCGACGCCCTCTCGCGAACCGAAGACGGCCAACTCGCTCATCGACGTGTCAGGGTAGGAGGTCTATCAACCTCCGAATGTCCTCCTACAGGCAGATGTTGAACGAAAGCCAAAAACGACCCACAGAAATCTTCAAAGAAGTATCGAGCAAAAAGTGGTGGAAAAAGCGGCCCCAGAGCATGTTTCCTCCTCCTCCTCCTCCTCCTCCTCCTCCTCCTCCTCCTCCTCCTCCTCCTCCCCCTCCTCCTCCTCCTCCTCCTCCTCCTCCTCCTCCTCCTCCTCCTCCGCAGAGAAGGAGGAGGACAGGCCCGACTTTAGCCGAGGGCCCCCCCCCTGGGAGCCAAGATGAGCCTCGGATCCGGGCGCCGCCGTGACTCTTCGCAGGGGGGCGCCGTGTCGCGCAGCTCCTTCGGGCCCCGGGAGCCTCGCACGCAGGTCGTGACTACCTACCAGACCACCCCAACCCAACCCGAAGACCCCAATTTCGGGTTGGGGGGGGTAAGGGTTCCATATGTGTTTTTTTCCATGTTCCCCGACCCCCCCCAACTGGAAATGGAGGGCAAATTGAGGCCTTCGGGTTGGGTTGGGGTGGTTTGGTGGGTGGTGAGGTCGATCGAGGCCCTGGAAGAGGGCGCGGGAAGGCGGGAGCTATACGCCGAATCTCACGCGGATCCAGGCGCTGCAGTACTTTCAAGGTGGGCGCCGTCGCGCGGCTCCGGGCCCTGGGACCCTCACGGGTCGATCGAGCCTGAAAAGTGGCGCGGGAGGGCGGGAGCCGCACGGGATTTCATGATAAAAGGGAGGTGGTCTGATTCTGGGGGGGGGTCTGATTTGAGCTGTCTTGGAGGGCTCCGCGGGGTCTGGGCAGAAGGCAGCCCTCCCATGGCTGGTCTGGGGTGACCCCCTTCCCTTTGATTGCGAAACTTGGAGCAGGGCTCCCGTCGTCATCCGCCACCGTGCCTGTGCAATGATGCCAAAAGGCTGCCTGGCAGGGTTCCTCTCGTCTTCCAAGGGAGCCCCCTGCGCGGGAAGCACCCGGCCACCTGCACCACCCCTGCTCCCGGGGGGGTCCCTAGGCGGCCAGGGCGCCTCCCCGGGGCTCTCCAAGGCTTCCATGGTGACCCAGGAGGCCCCAAAGACGGTCCAAGAGGGCCCCGAGTGGCCGAACGATCGCTCGAAGGCGCCCAGGACGGCCCCAAGATGGCGCAAGAGGCTTCCGAGGCGCCCCCAGAGGACTCCAAGAGGTCTCCCACGAGGGCCCCCAACGGCCAAAATCACTGATTCCCTTGCGCTTTCAAGGGCTTGGGCGTTCTCGCCTTTGCGGCTTTCCGACGCTCCATGGCGGCCCAAGAGGCCTTCAAGATCATCCCAAAACGGGCCAAGAGGCCTTCAAGAGGGCCCCAAGACAGCCTAAGAGCGCTCCAAGACGGCCCAAGAGGCGCCCCCACGGCCCAAGAGGGCCCCAAGACGGCCCCAAAAGGAGCCTCAGAGAGGGAGCTCGAACCGAAAATCCGAGCCTTCCACCCAAAGGGGCCCCCAGGAGTAGGGGGAAAACAAACCTACCTCGCTTTTGACCACCCTCGCTTCCAAGAGATACCAAACGATGCCGAATTGCAGCCTGTACTGGTCAGGCCGCTTGACGAGGAGGCGCGTGGTATCGCTTGGTTTTGCCTGGAAGCGAAAGCGGAGTAGGTAATTCACGCTCTGAAGGAGGCCTCAACAGGCGCCCAAGAGGCTCCAAAATGCCACCAAAAGGCCCCCATGAGGCCCCAAAACGGCTCCCAAGACGCTCAAACCTCACTCAAAGAGGCTCCCGAGAGGCCTCCCAAGAGATCCCAACGAACATCCACTGGGCTTGTAACCCACAACCCAGGCACGGTGGCGGGACTTCCCATAGACAGCTTGATATTTAGGGGAACAAGCAATGACATCATCATTGAAACTCGGAGGTCCGCGCGGATTTCTCGGATCGACGCTGGGGCCCCCTTGGCGGCGCCTCCGGCCCCCTACAGGCCGATTTTGAGCGAAAAATTCAAAGTAGCCACAACACATTCCAAAAATGCTAAAATTTTTCCTAAAATCGTCCCCGTACGATCTTGCTGCTATTGTCGAATATACCCCCTGTAGAGGGACAGGCCTGACTTAACCCCAGATGCGGAGGGGGCGCCCCGGAGCTCCCTCCCCCTGTCTGGCGGGTTCCGCGTGGCCCTTTTCACTGATGGGCCCATTTCCCACCACCACCACCATAGGAGAGGGAGGAGGAGGAGGAGGAGGAGGAGGAGGAGGAGGAGGAGGAGGAGGAGGAGGAGGAGGAGGACCTCCTCATCCTCCCTTCTCCCCCGTCCTACACATGGCAGTGGCGGTGGACAGTGTGCCTATCATGAACATCAAAACTCGGAGGTCCGTGCGGACATCTCGGATCGACGCTGGGCCCCCCTTGGCGGCGCCTCCGGCGCCGCCCCTGGCGCGCTCCGCGCGCCAGGGAGGGGGGTCCACCGCGGATCCCAGAAATCCGCGCGGACCTCCGAGCTTTTATGTTTATGTAGAGGCCTCCTAGATGGGGTCGGAGTAGATGGGGTCGGAGGATCGCGCCGCATCGCCGATGTATCGGCGATGCATCGGCGATGTATCGGCGATGCACCGGCAATGCATCGGCGACGTCGGCGATGCATCGGCGACGTCCGCGTGGGGAAACACGGGCTCCGCATCGAGCCGCATCGCCGATGCATCGGCGATGGGGCGCGACCCTCCGACCCCATCTACTCCGACCCCACCTCGGAGGCCTAGATTATGCCATTGTTCTTTTCCCTACCTTTCCGGCCGGTTCCGCGTGGCCCTTGTTGCCCCGCTGGGCGTCGCGAGGGGAACCCAGGATCTGGCTGGCCGGATCGGGACCCGCGATCGGCCGTCCGGAGCACCGACAACCCCAAACAAAAATCACCCCGGGGACGCACTCTGACCGGACCCGGGCCACAGTCCAGCTCTGCAGGGCCCCGCAAGGTCCTGCGGGATCCTGCGCCCACGTCTGGGTCAGTGCCACCCTAGCCATGCAGGATCCTGCAGGATCTGGCACTCTGACCGACCACCAAGAAGAAGAAGAAGAAGAAGAAGAAGAAGAAAGAAGAAGAAGAAACAACAGCAACAGCATAGCTAAACAGAAACTTTTGGCGCTCCGCGCGGATTTCTTGGATCTGCTTTGGACACAGAGCGCGCCAAGGACGGCGCCGGAGGTGCCGCTGGGGGGCCCAGCACGGATCAAAGAAATCCGCGCGGAGCGCCAACATTTTATGTGTATGCCGTTTTTCCTTTGCGATGACCCCCGTTGGCACTGACCCCCGTCGCTGGAGCCCCGGCGACCACCCAGAGAGGGGGGCGCAGAGCAGATCCAAGAAATCCGCGCGCAGGGCCAACATTTTATGGTTGTGTTTCTTTTGCGATGACCACCATTTGCACTGACCCCCGTCGCCAGAGCCCAAGATCCATGTCGAAAGCACAGTGCACAGAACGTGCACACAGACGCCGCTGTGGCCATGGGCCGCCGCCGTCGCCGTCGCTGGCCGCCACCGCGGGCAGGCCACCTGCCCAAGCCAGCGCGCTCTCCGGCTCCCGCCGAGGCGCCGGCGCGGCGGCCGCTGCCCGCGGCGCCTCCCCGAAGAGCGCCTGGCTGCGCCGCCCGCGCTGCCATCGGCCGCGCGCGTGGTCGCCGCCGCCGCCGTCGCCGCCGTCGCCGTCGCCGTCAGCGTCCTTGTCGTCGTCGTCGTCCTTGCAGTCATCCTTGTCGTCGTGCTTGTCGTCGTCGTCCTTGCCGTTGTCCTTGCCGTCGTCCTTGTCCTCGTTGCCATCGTCGTCCTCCTCCTCCCCCTCCTCCTCCTCCCCCTCCCCCTCTCCTTACCGTTCCTCCTCCTCCTCCTCCTCCTGCTCCCCCTCCTCCTCCTCGATGCGTTTTCTTATTAAGTGATTCCTCCCTGTCACACCTCGAGGCCTGTTGAAAGGGCGGGCCGAGCATGACGCCTGAGACTTCCTCATCACCTACGGCAGGTTCGTGTCGTGCCGACCCCAGCGTTGGTTTTTGACACCGCAGGGATCGTTCAACCTTGAACGATCGGCCGCTGCCGCAACGTCCGATCGTTCAACACCGATCGATTCTGGGTCGCCGGCGGCGTTCAACCTTGAACGCCCGCGCTGGGGTCGCCGCTGGTCGACACGACGCAAACCTACCGTACGACCCTGATGCTTCAAGATTGGCAGCAGCTTCGCGTCCGATCGTTCAACATCGATCGATTCTGGGTCGCCGGCGGCGTTCGACCTTGAACGCCCGCGCTGGGGTCGCCGCTGGTCGACACGACGCAAACCTACCGTAGGAGGAGGAGGAGGAGGAGGAGGAGGAGG